CTTTTTCATAATGATGCAATTATTTTGTAGGCTAGTGTTCAGGTTTGTCCTCAGTTGCAGCAACCAAAGGATGGGTTCCAAGTTATGATCAATGACCTTTCAACTGTAAAATGTTCAAACCCAGTTTCCTGTTTTGCATTATCAAAACAGGGTGGATATGTGATATCAACATCAGGGGGCATGATCTCCTTGTTCAACATGGTCTCCTATAAGGTAATACAAAAGTACAATGATACTTTAAGTTTACAATGGTATAATTTAACTTAATTTATGGCACACACTGCATAATTCAGACTCTGAGAACCATCATGTCTCCACCACCTATGGTAACATGCCTTGCTTTCTACCCTGAAGATAACAATATATTTGGTATTGGCTTTGATGACTCCAGCTTAAGTATATATAATGTTCGTGATGATCAGGTATATCTCTTTCTATCTTCTACAAAGATATGTTCCATTACATGTTTCAAAGAATATCGAAGCTGCTTTCTGTTTCCTTATCATACATTTATGTCAGGTTTTACAAAAGCTTGAGGGTCACTCTAAAAGAGTTACCACTCTTGCCTTCTCAAGCACTTCCAATGTTCTTATATCTGCTGATGCAAATGCTCAGGTTACTATTTAGTATTCTTTCAATCAATCATGCCAAACCTCAACACAACAACATTTTAGATAGAAATCTAAGTAAGAGTCTAATGTGACAGATCATTCTATGGAATACAAATGGGTGGAAAAAGCTGAAAGATAAAAGGTTGCAAATACAAGAAAACCACATGCTAGAATCTGAAACTCAGATTCAGTTGCATCCAGATCAAATGAAATTCCTTGTTGTATATTTTGGTCATGTTGCAATCTATGAAACAACAGAACTAAGATGTGTCAATGAGGTTCTTTATTCTTCTTCCCTTCACATATCATGAAAGTGATTTGTTTGTTTTAACTGGGTTAATTTGTTGTTTCCTTGGTGACAGTGGGTTCCAGAAATTCCACAGCTTATCTCTCAAGCAACCTTCTCATCAAATGGTCACATTGTGTATTCCATTTTGCTTGATGGGACAGTCACAATATTTGATGCAACAAATTTTGAAATTCATTGTAGGATTTCTACCTCCTCTTATCTTCCTCCAATTTCAAGGTATTCAATTTTAGACTTTAAATTTCTCACATTTTCATAGTAAAAATAAATTATTTGAATTCTCTCCTTATTATTATTATTACTACTACTAAATTTTAATTTATTATTGGTTGAAATAAAAACTTAACTAAATTTATGAGAAAAAGTGGGAACATGTGTGTATAGTTTAGTAGATTAGTAATGCACTCGGTTTGATTATTTCTATTAGTAGATTTCTTAGTAATAAAATATGTGAGATACAATTCATTTTATCATATCAGATAAACTTAATGAAGTGTATTACAAACAGGTATATAAATAACCCTGTAAAAAATAAAAGCTAGAAAAACATAACATAACAAAGCTAATTACAAATACTAGTAATATTAATACTAAATTCAATTTCTAGAAAATTTATGCTAATAATATGTTAATACCCTCTTCAAGTTGGACGATGAATGTTACAAAGACCTAATTTGGACGCAAAATTATAAAAAGTTGTATGATGAAGAGGTTTAGTCAACTCATTAGTAATGAAAGACGAAACTAAAAGAAAGTGAATGAGACCTTGTTGAATTTTCTCACGAACCACCTGACAATTGATCTCGATGTGTTTAGTATGCTCATGAAACATAGGATTATGAGCTAAATAAATGGTAAACTAATTGTGACAACAAACCACAATAGGTCCTAATAAAACATAAAGATCACACAAAAGATAATGTAACCATTGAATCTTACACCGGAGACTAACTAATATTCAATATTCTGCTTTAAAAGATGAATGAGAGACCGTAGATTATTAGTATATTATTAACATAGATTTTCTAGAAATTGAATTATTGACTTTGTTATTTTCTGATTTTTCTCTATTACATGGTTATTTATACATCCTACTTGTAATATATTTAATTAAGTTTTTTTAATACGATAAGATGAATTTTATCACACATTTGATTACACATTTGATTACTAGTAGATGCTATTCTTTTATCTTTTCCTTTCTTACTATGAGGTTAGAATTATATACTAACTTTCACACTAGTTACTTAAATCTTTTTTTTTCTCCCCTCAAATGAAAACCCTATTTTGGTTCTTGTTTTCACCTTATCCACGCAATGAAGCTTGTGCTCAAATCCAAGAACAAGGTGAAATCCAAGAAAGAACCATAGTATTGCAATAATCCCAAGGTTCATGTAGAAGGATGGTTGATGATGGTTCGAAGAGAGTGTCATCGACGAATTTAAGCTTGTTGTTGGATTTGAGAGCAAGCTTCATGACTTGAGCCTAAGTGTGATAATTTTTGTCATCCAACAAGGTGGAGACAAGAACGAGAGTAAAATTTTTATTGGAATGAAGAAAATAAGGATTTGAGGAATTAGTATGAAAGTCAATATATAATTCTAAAGCCATAACAAGAGAGGAAAAGATCAAAGAATAATGGATGATACAATCTTAATAATTAAATATGTGTGATAAAATTCATCTTATCATATTACAAAAACTTAATTAAGTATATTACAAGCCAATATATAAATAACCATGTAAAGGAGAAAAACAAAAAATAACAAAACATAACAAAATCAGTTATAGATAAATAACTGTTACAATGAAATTTAGTTTCTAGAAAATTTATGCTAATACAAAATTCAGTTTCCAAAAAATTATGTTAGTAAGATTGAAGATAAACATGATAAATTATTAGGATTCTCATGTTAATAATAACTATAACCAAATAAAAAGGATAGCTATAAACTAATTAGAAATTGTCTCAAGTATATTTTTTTTAAAATAATCATTACAAAAAATAAGAATTTTTAGTATTCATGAGAACCTATTTAGCTTAACAAGTATTGAAAATATTGTACGTTCTACTTAAAATCATTATTTCTTGCCCCGGTTACAAAACTTTAACATTTATCACATAAAGAAGTATGTTGTCAATATCATATTTTCGACTAAAATATTGCATCTTGCAAGATAAATAGTGATAGTTTATGTATCACTTTATATTTAAATAGTTTTCATTTAAAATATAATTTTCATGTTGTTATACAATTTATATTGTAGATAAGTTATATAAAATTAATCAAATAAGCTTGATAACGAAACACTTTGAAACAAAAGACACCCAATGATTTTATTAACCAGTCAATTGTGATTTGAAAAAGAAAAGTCAGAAACTCATTAAGATGGTTTAATTTTTTTATATATGAATTGAATTCATATCTTATTTGATAGATAACATATCTTTATAATGAATTCTCTTTCGAAAAGACCTATCAATTTCTCAAAGGCATATGTGGCATTTCCATTGAATTTAAATGATATATTGTTGTTTGTTGCAGCTTGAGCATCTACCCAATTTCCATTGCTGCACATCCACAGAAAGCAAACCAGTTTGTTGTGGGGCTGACAGATGGTAGTGTTTATGTGTTTGAGCCGCAGAAACCAGGAGGTGATTGGATAAAGAATCACTGATGAGGCACCTAAGGGATTCAAATGCATTCTTCATTGATGATGAAATGTTAGAAAACAATATTAACTTGTTTATGTATGTTGTATCAGTAGAAATTGTTACGAGTGATTATCTTCAAAGATACTGTGTACTAGCTTCTAATTCTCATATAATCGCCTCATATGGTTATCATTTCTTCTTGTTCTAAGTAAAATTTCATTGCTAGGTGTGTAATGGAAGTTACTGATATAAATCTCTAATCTCATTTAAGATGAAAATATATTTAACTGCTGAAAATTTGACTTTTATGGACTTGTTTAATGAAAAGTGTAGTTTGCACTATAATTATTGTATATAAAAAGTGATTGTTAGTCTATCCATCTACTAAATTATAATTTTATACAATTATTTATCTTAAATTTTGCTTAAATTAAACAATAATACTCTCATCAAATGATTTATATTTCATTATATTTTAAAAAATATATATTACATGTATTTTGATTTATATAAATTAAGTTTATAATGATGTATAAAATTTTGTAGGCATGGTCCATTTGAAAACCTTTCAGACTAAGAATGAGTTTTGAAAAATATGATTCAAAGGAAAGATGGTTAACTGTTTTATTAATATAATTTCATCTACATTTATACACACAATTGTTATCTCCAATCAAATTAAAAAAACATTAATTAATTGGTAGCAAAATATTTATCTAGAAAACTGTGAATTTTCACGCGTCCATGTATTATTCTATTAAATATTGCCACATGTAAAGTGAGAATTTTATTCTAATTTGAATAAAAAACTTTCCTAAAATTGTTTTAAAAAAATTTCTGGAAATTAAAGACACTTTAACACGGGACCAAAACGTGATATACTAAAACACTCAAATTTTAGATTTAAAAAAGAAAAAAATTGTTGAAATCTTTTGCATGAAAACAAATTTTACCTTAAAACAAATAAATCTTCTTTATTACATCTCAAATAAATGATTGTCGTGTCACTTTAATCAACCACACCAAGACACTCAGCAGACAGATAACAATTCCCTAAACAAAACTGCTTAAACCTGACAAAATCACAAAACCTTCTGTATGAAAAACAATTTTTTCCCTTGTTTTGGTTGATGTTGGATGATCTCAAAATTTTCCTCTTCAACAATTTTGGGCCGAAAAAGCTTTTGTTTTATTTAAGAATTTCATCAGCAAGTTCCTAACGAAATATTTTTAAGTTTTCTAATATGAATACATCAAAATTAAGATGTAAAACCACTGCAAGCACTGATAGTACTATCACATCACTACCGCAGCTAAGACCACATTAAAAAAAACAAAAAACAAAAAAAAGCTGATGTTGGCAATTTGACAGTTGCAACCAAAACATCATCAACTCCATGTTCATAGTCACAACTGTCCAAGCATGTTAGTGTAAAAGAATTTGATTATTTGACAACTTCCCCGGGCTAAAGACAAGTGATATATGTTAGTGAGAATGATCTATAAACATGGAACATAATATCCAAATGTTCAAAGCTTAAATATAAATAGTCGATTTAAAGGAAATGACAATGCTGAATGCCACATAAATGAAGACCTTCAACTGGAGCTTGATTCATCAGTTTTTGCTGCTGCAGATGCATAACTAACACTACTATCCCTGTTACTTTTGCACTGGCTAGACTGCTCATAGCGAAGAAATTTGATTTTTATCTTTGTTGAGCTGTTCCTCAGCATCTGATAAAATTGCAAAAGATTGGAAGTAAATAGAGGATCAACAACGAACAGAAAAACTCATTTCAGGTTATAAGCTACAAAATATATGGATCAAGAGATACCATATAAGACCAGATAGTCATCCTTCAATTTTATTACCAATATTTAGTGAATGTCTATGTACCCGCACCCTATAAAACTTGCAAGAAATGCTGGTAAACATTATACACCATTAATTCTTTTAAAGTAGGAGCTGAAGAAACTAGTAAAATGCCAGTTAAGTGAAACTAGATTTTGCAATCTTATCTTTCAAGTTTCACAAAAGATGCCTCAAACTAGTTCTCAAATTCTCTAGTACAATAGCGAAATCACAAGTAATGCTTCAAGAAATCCCAAGATCAAAAAAATAATAAAAACACTGACTTCAAACATTTGCCTATTGATGGACTCAAAAATAGTTCATTTAGGCTGGTGACACAAAATAGGGAAACTTCAGAAAGCTAGATATATTACTTGGCCTCCCAAATAAAACTGGAATGAAATTGAAAACCAACCTAGTCAGTAACCTCTATGAAAGCTATATGGAAAACAAGGAATAAGACCTTCTTTGTTAATCATACATTATCTTATGAAAGAATTAAAAGCGTCAAATATGTTGAGGTCAAATGGGCCTAGAATTTATGTACTGGTTGTATGTTGCCCAACACCAAAGCTCATTATTCTTAAAAGTTTTGGAGTAGACATACATCCTATGAAGGTAGATCCTATTTTCCTGTTTTTTTGGCTTCATCCACCTTGTCATACTGATGGGACAGCTAAAGGTTCTCCTGGTGTATCTGGTGTGGGGATATTTTTAAAGATCATCATGCTTCCATTGTAGGTGGTTTCTCTTCGGATCTTGGCGTTCATAGTGCCTTTATATGTTGAGGTGATGCGTGTGAATCTGACTATGGAAGTTGTTACCTTCAAAAGTTGGACTAATCTTTGGACTGAGTGACTCAACTTGTTATTCAAGTTTAGTCCAACACTTCAATTATTCCTTGGGAACTTCATAGTAGGTGGCTGAATTGTTTGGTAATTAGTAATACTATTTATTCAATTTGTTCATGATGGAGAGGGTAATCAATGTGCTGATAAACTTGTTCAGTTTGACACTAGATCTCAAGGCTATACTTGTGAGATAGTGTTTCTAGATTCATTTGCCCTATGTTTTTCATGGATAAATGTGACATGTCCTTTTGTAATGGATTAGAGGATCAGATTTGACATTGGTGTGATAAGAAAACATGATTTATAATAACAACAATGATACAATATTATTATTGTTCTTTACTTCAAGTTGTATCAAGGTTCTCAAATTAGGCAAGAGATACTTTCATAAGAGTATTGCTACAAGGAACTTACATGAAGAAAAACACTAATTGGATGTCTTCCACATATTGTATTGTCATACTCCAACAGATATTGTTTGAACGAATCTGGATCTCCTGTTTCTATGATATCCATGCCCATCTTGTCTAGGGCCTCAATAGATTTGTATATAGGCCCGTGCTTCTTGTCATAGTGCATGTAATTGAATCTGAAACAAAATGTTAATCAGAAGGTTATATCAACGAAAAAAGATCTTTAAATGCACAATAGTCTACATCTGCTTCAAACTAATGAGACAAGAGATATTCATAACATACATAACCATGATCAATAAGCAGAAGTGTACAGCATTCAAAACACTGGAGTCTATTTGTTTGTTGGAAAGTCACCTTAATTGAAATCACCCATAACCTGCCTTAATTGTGGTCTCTTTGGAGCAACTTCATTGTGCAGGATGTGAGAGGTGTGTTGCGTACTTTAGTTCCCACATCAACTAGGAATCTATGTAGGGCTTATAAAGTTTGGATAATTCTCACTAACAAACCAATTTTGTGAGATTGATTTAGGCCACAAAATCAAATGGTAAAAAGTCTATCCTAGACTCGTTGGAGTTATACACCTTGCCTGCCTTAATTGCAACAGCCTCTTTGGAGCACCTTCTTCGTGCAGGGTTGTTTAATCTCACATATCCATTAGAGATAAAGCTTAGGTAGTTCTCATAAAGCAAGAGTATTTTTACACTTTTAAGCTGGTTTTGAAGGATTGTAATAAGCTCCAAGCATATTATTTGAACAATGTAAATCCTCTAACTAGTCAAACAAATGACCAAGGAAAACAATACTAGAGTGTTAATGTTTGTTTTTGTGTGCTCTTGTTAACACATCTCAAACAACTGTAGAGGAATGTTTGATAGAAGGGAAGTCTTTAGTTCCTTGGGAATTAGAAGTAGGAATTTGTTTCCCTTGTTTGGTTTATTATTTAACAAAATAGCATTCCCAGGAAACATTTTGTTCCCTGCTTTTTTTACTTATGTTTCCTACAAAATTGTTCTCATGGAAAGGTGCCCAAATTTTCAAAGGTTTTAATGCTGTAAAATCATTTAATGTGATAAATAATTAATGTTACTGGGAAAATTCAATCAAAAGTAATTGCGAAAATCTTTATTTATGATTCCTGAAATACGTAATTCCTAAGCATAGAAATTTTCCCTTTGGGAAGGGGATATTGGAATGTGTAAAAACAGAGGTAGTTGAAAGTTTACAAATTGTACATACCGAGATCCCCAGTGACAAAAGTCTGATGAAATAGAGAAGAAGTTACTGGGATTATCTACATATTTGGCAAGAATCTGTCCATACATAGCTTCATTTTCAGCACTAACAGCACCAACTAAAATGGGCACAATTTTCACCTGGTACCTGCATCAGCATTTGAATTTAGTCCCTGTTGCACAGCTTCAAAACAGGAAGCTCTATATAACAAAACCTACCCTTCAAATACTTTAGCAAGATATGGTAGGTGCATTTCCATGCTATGTTCAGCTTCATCAACACGAATATCCATCAGTTCAAATTTCCCTGTAGCTTTAAGCTCCTCAATAACTGGCAAAACAAAAGTTAGATGTGAGCAACAAGGAAAGAAAGGACCATTGTCAAAGTCAAACAGAATGAAGCAGTTCTCAGAAAATCAATTCAAATAATTTACCATCGTAGAAACAAACCAGCATCACATAAATTTGATTTTCCATATCAATATGATCTACTTATTTCCAATTTCTCAATTCATTGAATACCTCCTCATCAATATTACACAAAGAACACTACATTCACACAAATAATCTCGCATTCAAATCCTTGCTGAAAATATAAGCAAGAATGATCACAGTTTAATATCCTTAAAGATTTCATACAGTTATAGAGGTACCTTCCAAATCAATAGGCAGGTCACCTATGGGAGTCTTGTAGACAGTTGCAGTTGAAAGTGCACACTTTGGAGTGTAATAGTGGTGAGAAGGACCAAGAAGGAAGACGCGTGTACTAACACCACCATAAAACATAAAGAAAAAACAACAATAATCCATAAGTTAGCAGAAACTACAGCAGCACAAGCAAAAAGAACAAGCAAGGTAATCCTGTTTCCATGAACAAATGAATCTGAGAAGAATAAGAGCAGCAAACAAGAAAGAAACCCACATGTTTGATGGATCAATGTTTCCAAAGGCATAAGCAGCAGCTCTTCCTGAATAGGAATAACCTGCATGTCTAACATCATAACATTCCAGTTGCACCACAAAGACACATTAGAGTTGTTTCTTTATCTCAAAAATCAAAATCAATAAAAATAAAAAGGGCACTTCCACTTACGGTGCTATCACTCCCCGCACCTCAGGAGACTTAGCCAAACCACAGGATTGCAGCCACCCATCAAGTTCCTCTGAGAGCTGCTTAGCTGAAAATAAAAATAAAAATTTTAAAATCACAAACATAGGTAGAAGGGTGTAACTGATAACAGATGAATGAACCAAAAGAACAGAAAGTTGAAAACTTTAACTGTTCATGAAGTAGTTCAAAACAATCAAACCGTTTAATTTATGAACAAACTTCGACCCAATAACATGTATCGAGAGAAACAGCGATCGAAAGATTAAAAAACGAAATCTGAACCTGATCAGCGAATTGAACTCGAAATTGGTGAATCGTGAATGATAATTTGAGGGACTTACGGTTGTCGGTGTACCAAGAACCAGCATGGGAGGGTCTCCTGACCTTGGTGGCCATGATTGAGGATTTGAGTGGAAAAGAAAAACAAAAAACCTAAAACTGAATGGAAGGGGCTGAAGGATTTCCTTTTTCAAATAGTTTAACTTCGGAAGTGTCTGATTGCAATGTTCTAAGCTGTTTTATTCTTCTTTCTCTTTCCAACCACTGCTGCAACTCTAGAACTAGTTTTTTGAGAAAAATTATGTAACCGTGTTTTTAAATTAAGAGCAAAAGAAAGTTGGTAGTTTTTTTTTTTTTTCATAAAAAAGATTTGGTAGTTAGGATAAAGAAATATATAACTTTATCTTTTTTTAGCGAATTTTATTATATTTGTTAGTTAAAACAAAAAATTTAAATTAACTTTATCTTTTTTTTCTCCTTTTGCTTTTGGTTATTATTATACTTGCATTATGTATCACGTAATTATTTTCTCTCATTTTACTATATTAGTGTTTCACTAATGAATTTGGATTTTTTTTCTTATTATTGTTTTTAATTCATTATTATTTTATTGATTTTTTTTATTTCCACTATATAGTCGCTCATACGATATTTATAAATTTGAGGCTATAATTTTTTAATCTATATGTTTATCATATACTATCATTCGCTAAATTATTATGTGATAACGAAATATCAAATTACCAAGATGTATATTATGTTATGTGTAACGATAACATTTTTTCTATCATATTATACTTAATAATGGAAATCAGAAGAATAAAATATCGTATTATAAAAATTAAAAAGGTAAGAAAATACTAGAATCAAAATAATGAAATAGGTATATATTATAATGATTGCTTTTATATGACTAAGTTTTAGAAAAGTTGCATTGTTGTGATTTCTTTCTAATTATTGTCAAAGATTGTACTTAGGAAAAATACCTACAAATTATTTACTTGAATATGTACTCTATTTTTATATATTATTATAAGAATTTCATACAATACGTTTGTTTTCCTTCAAAGGAGTTGTAGGAGTAAAAATTTCCTTTTTATAATTAGAAATTAAGGATGGTAAATGAACCTTTTTTTTTCCTGAATATTATTTTAATTTGTCTTAATTTTGATGCGAATTATTAATATAAGTAATACAATTTTTTTCTAAATTATATATGAGAATGGAATGATTATTGTAGGACCTAGAAAATAGAGTATTAGAGTAGATATGTGTATTAAAATAATGAGACAAATTATTTTAAGAACACTTCATCTCTTTAGAACACTATTTCTCTGAGTTCTCTGACTTCTCTCTACCATCTCTCGCTACTGAGTTCTCTGATTGACGATCAGGAGGTGCCCAGACGTCCACGGCATAGAGGGCTTCGATTTTAACCAATCAATTTTGTGATTCTAGTTGGTGAGCCGTTTGTCCTCTTTCTCCTCTTGTTCTTGATTCTGGATCATGCAAGTATTCCATGCGTCTTGCAGTTTCTTTCTTCAATTTTCAGCTCAATTTAGGTTCTAAGAGTTGTTTTCTATCACCAATTGGTGAGTTGTAGGTTTCTGTTGAATTTCCTTGCAGTGCAAGTTGGTGTAACTTTGTGAGCTGGGTTGTTTGTCTCTAAGGTAAGGGAAGCTAGATTATTGATTTAATTAGTAGTATGACATGTGTGTGATAAAATCTGTGTTATAACGCTGTTTGAGTTGAACATTAGGTTTTGAGTAGATTTAATTGTGTTATTTAAACGTCAAATTGTGTAAACTATAAAATGATGATTATGAATTAGTTTGGATGAATCTAATTGTTGTAATTGTATATGTTAGAGGTACTGCTTGTGAGTAATCTGTTGTGGTAGTGATGAGGTAGAAAGTGAAGTGAATTGTACTTGTTTAGAGTCTTTTTAGAGGAAGTGAGGTAATGAATTTGAGAATTTGAGTTCTAGTACTGGTATGGTCTGTTTGGGCAGTTTAGGTAAGTTGTATGTGACTTGTTTGAATCATTAAAATGGTCAAAAACAAGTTCAAAGTGGTAAAATAGAATTTGAGTCTATAAGTTAATGAAATTGATGTTTTAAAGTAGGAATTGGTGCATAAACACTTTAGATTGATGTTAGGAAGGTTTAGAATCACTTAGTCAAGTCTAATTAAGTATATACAACAATCTAGGGGTGTTAGAAGTTGGGGAAAATGTTTAGAATTGGTAAGTTGTGGTTGAGTTGCATAATTCTGCAGAATTTCGTTCTGCAGATTATGTAGACTCGTTGTGCGAATGGATTCGCATAGCGAGTCACCTTGGCGAGATGCTCTCTGCCAAGGCATTCGCACAACAAATGGGTGCGTTGTGCGAATGGATTGAGAAGGTTGCTCTCTGTTTGATGATTCGCATAACGAATCAAGTTGCTATGTTACTGGTTGGGGTATGAGATTATTATTCATTTTATTCAAACAACGAATGGGTTTCGCTCTGCGAGTGCTTAAGGAGCATGAGTCACTATCTAAGGTTCTCACATAACGAGATGGGACGCTATGCGAGGGGTCTGGGGTTTGATTCAAGTCATGGTTTATTCGCATATCGAGTCTAATCGCTATGTGAATGGTTTAGAGGGTTGTCTCTGTCTGAGGATTCGCACAACGAGCTAAGTCGTTGTGCGAGAAGCCTCTAGTTTCGCTATGCGAATGTGTGTGTTGTGCGAGGGGTTCAGTTCTAGTTCACTTTTCTTTTGATCTTAAGTTGTTTTACATGAAACATTTAGTGCTTTATGAAGTAAGTTGAAGTTGTATTATATGTAATATCATTGGTTATTGATGTGTGTTGTGTTTCCAAGTGTAAGTTGGTGATTTCAAAGTGTAAAGTTCAAAGTATGGTTAATAGACGTAATTTCATGATCCTGGAGAGGATACATGGTGGTGCTCTACGTTGTGATTCAAAGTGAAATCTTTTGTTGAGATTCAAGTAAGTTTAGAATGAATGCAAGAGCTTAGTCTTGGGGGTTATCCTGAAACTCCATTGGTCTTTCATTCTCAAGTAGAGAGGATTGATCCATGTTGTGAGGAGTAGCAGGATATCCTAGTCTTGGGTGCTTCCAGTATGGCCCAAGGTGACTGATAACGGACTAACCTCGTGAGTGTGGCAGGGTAAAACCCATTGACAATGGCTTTGCAAAGCAGTAGAAGCCACCACGAGTGCACGACCCGCTATAGTTGCAATCATTCTAAGTCCGAACAGTCAAAGTCAGTGTGGTGTTATGTGTGAAGAGTTTATGTGATGTGATTGTAAGAAGCTTAGTATATTAGTATGTGATTAATCTTTGTTTAAACTAGCTTACTCTGTTGTGTGCTTATATTTTGTATGTTATGATGTTCTTCTTATGCAATCTTTGTTTAATTTATTATGTAATTTAAAATTTTATATTATTTTTTTCCTTAATTTGTAACTTATTTATTTATTATTTATATGTACTTAATATATATTTTTATAATTATTTGACATTTATGTAACTGTTTGATATTTATATAATTATAATATTTTATTGATATTTAAAATTTTAAAAAAAATGAATACTTAACTATAAACAATACCAATTTTTAATGTAATTTTTATTTTTTTAAGTATTATTTAATTAATATTTAAAATAAAAAATATAAGTGCAAATAAGTGTATAAATCGTATTACAATAAAGATGAAGCCAGACAAAAATAAAAAATTTATATTAAATTATATATATATGAAATAAAAATAAAATTTTACTTTAAAAATAAAGATCCATAATCAAATTCCCAAATCCAAAAATCATCATGAAATAAAAACTTCTACAAATTATGATTCATATAAATTATTAACTTTTATTTTATTAGTTTTGAGAAGTATTCCTAAAAATATTTAAATAAGCTTAGAAATAAAAAGATATTGTACTATTTTTATCAAAATCTTTAATTTGTTACGATTTAATTAAACTACATAATATTTTATCAGAAAATAAATTCTATCTTTTCTTGAGAAAAATTCTCACCTCCCTTTAAAAAGATTGTGAAAATTTGACTAAAAAGCATTCCTGTCAAACCTAGTATTATTTTGATAATGATTATATATATATATATATATATATATATAAAAGAAAAACACTACAACAAAAAAGAACTAAATCAATTTTTTTAGTTATAACTAAAAAGGACAATTTTAATTTTGAAATATTAAAAATAAAGTCCAATTAAACATGAGATATTAAAAATAAGTTTTTCTATAATTTTATTTTGTTCGATTTCATTTTTAATTTGGTAAAAAAGCATGTTATTATATATATACACACATATAAAAATTTAATTAATAAACTGGTTAAAATTTTATGATGTCTTATCTTTTTTAAATTTATCAGAAAAATGAATAAAACAAAGACATATCTTTAAATAAATAGAAAAGGGTTATAAATTATTTATTTCCAAAAAAAATATTTTTGTGCAGAAATAACATAATATTTTCTAAAAATCATAAATATAATAAATTTCTACCTTTAATAAATTAAAGACTTAAATATAAAAATAATCAATATAATATACTAAATAAAAGTAAGTATAGAAATCAAAACAATAAGATAAATAATACATTACAAAAACAGAAAAAGATATGAAAACCTAACCACTAGTAAAGTAAAAAAGGGGATTGGAAAGTGATATATACGCTTCGGTTTAAGCAAACCACCGAAGCGTACAAAAGCGCGGTGACAGAACCGTAAATAAAGCTAACATATATGTCTCGGTTGCTCCAAACCCAATGCGTAAAACATGATACTAACTCGGTCCTACACCAAACCGAAGCATAAACCTACCAGCTGATGATGTTACTAACTCGGTTTCCATGAAACCGATGCCTAAAGGAACCTACGAACTAACCACTAGTAAAAAAGGGATTGGAAAGCGCTATATACGCTTCGGTTTAAGCAAACCCGAAGCGTATAAAAGCGTGGTGGCAGAACCGTAAATAAAGCTAACATATATGCCTCGGTTGCTCCAAACCCGATGCCTAAAGCATGATACTAACTCGGTCCTACACCAAACCGAAGCATAAACCTACCAGCTGATGATGTTACTAACTCGGTTTCCATGAAACTAATGCCTAAAGGAACCTACGAACTCGGTTCTAAGCAGACCTGCCACCCACCTGCCACCCACCTGCCAGACTCGGCCTATTACCTTTCACCTACTCTCATATCTCCTTTTTCATTTTACACGAAATGCTTTTCTTTCCTCTCGCAGCA